TAATAGTTACAGGTTGTAGGAAAAAGACATTTTTTTTCAGAAAACAGCACAGAAGGGTTTTGTTTAAAAAAATAAAAGAGGAAGAGAAGTTGTCATTAATTTTTAACTTGCAAAAGTCTGCAGTTAGTTGAAAAGGAAATGCAAAAAAGCTGATTATTCTTGGGATCAAAATATTGGAGGTGTTTTGTCAAGAAAGGCAAATGCAGAGAAAATACATTTACTGTAGCTGTTTCCAGTTCCACAGTATCCTGAAAGGGAGCCAAAGGCACGTAAGTAATGAAAGCTCTTTTAAGTGTCTGCTTCTCTCTGCTGTATTTTTGAGGGGAATAACAATCTCTGAATTTTACAGTATGCCTAGTGAATTTTTAACAGGAAAGTTCTTAATTGCTTTGTTCCCTCTTTACTCCCTGGTTCATCTCTGGTAGCTTCATCTATGGTTTTAATTAATTGTGAGGGTCTTTTTTCCTGTCTCAAAACAGAAAGCGGGGAAGTGCTGCCGGTAAGAGGCGGCCAGCTGGAGCACAGTGTGCAGTCTGGATGACACTGCTCCCACAGTCACCTCTCACAATGTTCCTCTCTGGAAGAGATTTTCATTGTGCAGCATTGTTTTCCAGCACCTGTTTAGGGCATGTAAGTTTGATACCTGCCTTTTTCATCTTTGCTGGTGACTCCATTCTCTAAAGACAAATGTGTCCCAAATAGGATGGTCCTGGACAAGAGGAGAGGACTTTCTCAGGCTACCACCCATCCAACCTGCCTCAACCAGGCCTGAAGGACACTTGTCCTACTTAGGCTGTAGGTTTTCCCCTGGTGAAGGACTGGATAATGTCGTCTGTCTTAACCTGAGCAGTTTGCTGATCTCTGTTTCCATTTTTGGCCTTGGGGAGGAAAGATGTTGTTTAGTCTCCTTCCCCATTCCGTTGTTGAAATCTTTCTCTTTCCTGAGAAGAGACTTTCCTTTACCTGGCAAGCAGAGTTGTTATATGTTTATATAGGTGTTATATGTAATATAATACTCATCAAATCCTCCCTGTACTGAAGATTATATTAAATACAGGATTTTCCTTAATAATCTTTGAATAACCTTATAAAGAAGACTCTTAAACTACCCTTAGGATGATGTGTAAATTAAAATTTTGCAAGCCACATGGACTGTTTTGGGGTTTACTCTTTCAGTTTGTTCCATGATAAATGGCTCTGAACAGGACCAGGCAATACTAGGAACTCCTGCTCTGAAAGGTTCATCCAATCTTGGTAGCAGCATTGCCAGAACCTAAGGAATTGCAATTTTCCACCCCTTTCCTGCCAGCAGAAATAATGTGGGACATGCTCCAAGCCACAAGCTTGGGAAAGAGTGTTTCTGCACAGTCCCCTTCTGTCACCCAGTTCAAGATTCCAGCTGTGTTCAAGGCTGGGCCATAAAGTTTGTTTCTGAATGTTCCTTCATTGTTTCATTCCTGTTTGGTTCTGTTTCCTCCCTTTCCACCTCTGGCTTGGCTTTGATCGCACTCCCATGGTTTCTCTTTCCTTCCTGGCCTTTTCCCCCTATTTTCATGACTCCTATCTCAAGCCCTCCAGTCTCTCTCTGTTCCTCTGATCTACACCATTGCTGTCCCTTGTTTTCATCAATCACTCCTGGTTCTTGATCTGCCCAGATATCCTCTTCTCTGCCACTCTTCTCCCATCTTTCTTGCAGAACCTTTTTTTCACCTGTGATTTCTTTTCATTGTTCCTTTGCAGCATTTCCCCTCTCTATTTTAATTCCCTTGTTCCTTTAGAGATTTCACCTCTCTATTTTAATTCCCTCAGAGGCAGACTTTGCTTTTGTTTCTCATTCAATGCTCAATCTTGCACAAGCAGCAAAGGGGTAGGAGAAAGAGGGAAATTTGCCATAGTCTACAGTGCATCTCCAATAAATGGCCAACACTACCCATGTATAAACTTTCAGGTAAGAGCCTCTGCAATGTGTTTTTTTAACCAGAAATACATGAGGCAGTTTTCAGGCTATGTATTTGAGTTTTAAAAGTATTTAATAAGTTGTCTGTTACTACTGCAAAGTTAATCTCATTCAGTGAAACATTTAAGATTATATTCAAATTAAGACTATATGGTAGTATACTGGCTCCAAGATTTAGGATATTCATTCATTATCTTTATTTTAATAGATAACTATTTTTTCCCATGTTATGCTAAGTACTTGATTAACAAAAGGAGTCACTGATGTTAAAGATTTCTGCCAACAGCAGCTGAAAAGATTCTGTGTAATACTGTATTTCCTTTGTTAACTATATAATACATTTAAACTTGCAGCTTAAGCATCTAAAATGGTAAGGAATTGTAGAAGGATTCCAAAAGTAGAGACACCTATAAATGTGGGTTACGTGCAGGTAATTTTTCCCTCTTACAGGAGATGTTTAAAAGCCATCCTTACTAGTATTCGATAAACATAATGGGAAAAAGTGCAGAGCATACTGATTGGGTTATTCTGAAATCCCCACTGTCTCCACACAAAGGCAACAGTACAGAATACAAATGTTGCCTGATACCCATGTTTCTAATTACTTGCAAGATTTGTATCTAACAAATATATGACCTAATTTTCTCTCAAGCATGTAATCCTATTGTTATTTCAAAACCTTGTTAAATATGCATTTTAGAAAAAAAAGGACATGAAAAGGAAAAGTACTTGCAGAAGACGGTTAATCTTTTTTCCATGGCTTGCAGCTGTCAGACAAGCAGACAACATAACCAAGTAATGAACAGATTGAATCAAATTCATGCCTCAAATAATGCCATTGTACTCAACAGTTACATGAGGTATGAATTTGCAGCATTCGTTGCATTTAATGAAATAAAATCAGGAACAAATCAACAGGAATTATTAACTTTCCTCTATAATTATGTGTAGTTTATTCAAAAAACTCAATCAGCCATGAAACAGAAGGCTTTCTCTGGATTCCTGGAAGAATTTTATCATTCACTACTCCTACGTACATGACTGAGATGAATGATTAAAATTTTATTTATTAAAAAACATTGGTTTAATTTTGAATTGTTCCTCATAACCCCATAATTTGTATTTCATTCCTTTTATATTACATGCTTTTTTTCACAAAAATATTAATTGTAGATTTCATTCAGACAGATACCTGGAAGATAGACACTGTCCTACTTTCTTTCGTGCTGCCTGCACTTGTGTGCAACCTGCAGAGGAGGATGGACTAAAACCTGTCAGCATACTGAAATAATGTTCTTAGGAGTGAAATATTGTCAAAGTCATGACTCTACATATCATTTAATGTCTTAAAGAAATGTAAGGATCGATTTTTAATTGTTTGGCTTTTCTATGGATTTTGACAGGTAAGAGAAATTAATATGTTTTTGTTTTTGTTTTTCCATAATGAAATAAAAACCAGGGCAAAAAAAGTCCAATTTTTCCTGCATGTGCTAAATACACTTCTAAAATAGTCCCTCAAAAGATGAATTGTCAAAGTTTTAGACCCTGAAAATGCATCAAGGAACTACTAAGTGATTTATAAAGGTAAGGATCAAATTTTCTCAAAATTTAATCAAGATATTGTAAATCAGATTAATTTAAAAATGTTGTTTGTTATAGAATCTGTTGAGATTTCAATCTGTGTTGTATCTTCACAACACAGTATCTTTACAAAGTATCTTTAATACTCTGGATTTCACCACTGTTTACAAAGATAGAAAACTATTCCTTTTGTTTACCAGATTGCATATAGTTGAGATATTATTTTAGGGACTTCAAAGTAATGAAGTGAGAAGCAGAATTAGAGACAAAAGGGTTGATTTCTCTGTTGAGCAATGCTGTATCCATGAAAGGAGAACATCCCTCATGAGATTATTCTGAAATGAGGTTTTGTCCATATTCATTTGCTTTACTTTCCCAGAGGGTTAAAGTAGAAAAGTGGAATAGCTCTTCTAGTAGCAGAGTGGAGTAGCCTGGCTGCTTTGCCTGAGATCCAGAGAAGAGTTAAATGTTCCAGGAGTAGACTGGCTGTTTAACTGTCCTGCTGGCCCTCATAATCTCTGGTAAGAAATGGATCCCTGATTTCCAGGGCAGTGTGGAACACCCAGCAGTGAGGGACTATGTGAGATTGCTGATAACTCTTCGCATGAAAAGCTACCAAATTTGAATTTTTCAAATGCAGAGATATTAGTAAAACTGAAATTAGAAGGCATGATAAATTTCAACTGATTGACTATTTTGGGACAAGAAAGGACCCCTATAATCATAATTGTTACCTCTTTCAGTCTTCTGCACACTGCAAGCCATAAGTTTCCATCCAATGGTTGGGCATCAAGTCTGTAACTTTGGACTGAGCTTTCTGTCATAATAATTTAGAGAAGCACCATCTTGACTTCATATTTAAAGAAGCAGAGTTTTCATTATATCCAGAGATGATATCTTCCAAAAGACAATGATCCTCACCTTGAAATTTGTGTATTCCGAATGCAGTTTATCCCAAACTGATATTAGAGAGTTAATCCTGCAAATGTATTCTCACTGACTTCCATGGGATGTGCTCAGGGGACATTGTTTAGTTGATTAAATTTTTAACAGACACACGTTGCTTCAGCAGATCACATCTCAGTGCCCCAGCATTTCATCCTTTGGCAGTGGCAAACGGTACTGCTAAGGTACCCTTCCTATTCATTGCTTCCCTGTCTTGGCAACTTTCCTTTCCCTGCCACATTCCTTTCTCTGCCACGTTCACTTTCAAGGCCTTGTGGCTGTTCCTGCCTTACCTGTCATCTGTCATTCAGTGTCACAAGGTCACCTTCTGCCCTGGACTTCCCTGGAATGCCATCTCCATTTCCCACCCACCACATTTCCAGACCAATTTCTTTTCCACTTTCTCCTTTCTGCCTCTCATGCTTAATATGCCAGGTCTATTTATCTACCTTCTTCATTCTCTTTCAAAATTTTTACAGTGACATCTGAAGGAAGCCTGGGCTGGGTGTGCTGGGACTATGCCTGTGATCCCTGCTTTGTCTGCCAGTCAATACCTGTTCATCAGCACATCTGGAAACTGTGTATTTTAAAGGAGCATTTTAAAATGTCACCTTTCATTAAGGATTCTTCATCATAAAATTAGGATATGTTCCTATTGGTAAGTTTGTCACAGTGAAAGGATGATCCTAGCTAGACGTCTCGTTCTCCAATTTTTTGGGTTCACTCCCAGGTACTTTGCATATGAGACAATAATTTCAAAAAGTCTATTTGAAATGATGCAAAAAACCACTCAGAATCCAAGAGAGCAATTTTTGTGTCAGAAATTGGTATGTGAAAGGTACTTAAATCTTGATTTTATTTATTATTAGCTGTCAGCTAATAATAAATTATGTTTAGTTCTTCCCTTGTTATAAATACATATTGATTAGTTTTAAACTCTGAACTTCAGAATGAGTTATAGATGGTCATTGCTAAACTGCTCTCTTCACTAAGAAAAATATCCCCAACACCTATTATACTGCACTTAATTAAGACAAGCATCAGCTTTATGTACCTTTATTTGCTTCTGCCAAGTCTCTCTGGTATAAATATTGAGCAGTTGCAACTCTTGAATACTAATCGGTCCTTCCTGAATTCCAAATTATTACACAAAGTTTAGGAAGTGTTTCTTTGCCAGTATTAGACTCCAGTACATACTTGGGGTGGACGTTAGGGTTGAGACAGCCTGAATCAGACACGTATGCAGTAAGTATTTTTCTAAATTCAGATGTAATGTCCTGAAAGCTGTGCCAGAGTACTTCCAGAACCCCTGGACTGCTGGTTTAGTGGTGTTTACTAGGTGCATTTGTACAGACATCCTTGGGTAACAGAATGGGTAATCTAAGAAAACTGCCAATGGTTAAAATAAAACCACCTCGTTATGACAGCCCAACTAAAACTAAACACGTGTGTTATAAACAACACATAAATAACAAGACCTATTGAGGTCTAACAAGACCTAACTATTTAGCTAAAAATAGCTGTATATTTACAAACTCCCAAAAGTAAAAACAGCGAGAGTGACCACTTTGAAGAAGGCATTAAACCCTAAGTACTGTTTGTCTCCGTGAGTGAGAAGTCATTTGTAATGACAAGTCCATGCCTGGATAAGCTCTCCACTAGTGACTTACACTGGCTTGCCAAGGAAGGCTGTCATGTAATGCTTCTCACTTCAAATTCACAGCAACTACTTCATCTTTATCTGTAATCAAGACTTACATGCAAAATTTGCCAGGTTATATCTTTATATATGTAGCACACTTAGTTAGCTGTAACTCTGCATGAATTGATTCTTGTCTAAGTTTCTGGTCTTCTTTCCTGTTTTTTCCCTTTTGTTTGATAAAACCCCTGCCTCACTAATTCCCTCATTTCATTCTCCTATTATATTTGTTTGTATGCTCTTAACTATCTTAATTAGTACAAAAATTTAGTCAACATTCCCTGTTATATTACCTCCAGCTGATGCTTATACTCTTATTTTCCTGTCTGTATAAGTATGATACTAAACCCTCAGCAAAAGTTACGGAAGTGAAGGTAAGAAAAAAAAAAAAAAATTCTGTGTATTTAGACTGCAAGCTCCCTGAGGCAGAGATTCTGCTGGTCTGTAAATCTAATAGAACAATTACTAGAACAACAGTATTACATAAAGTACATTAAAAAGTGCAATAGCTATTTTTTTCAGTGGTAAATTGTTGTGTAACTGCATTGATGTGAGTTACTGCACCAGGTGGAATGGAGCACAGGCAGGCTTTGTGCTTCTGTTCCCTGAGTGTGCATTTGAAGGGAACACCTTCTAGTCTTGTGAGCGCTGGGGGTAGAGTCTGCCTTGAATATGCTTCATTTCAGCCTTTTTCATCTGCATTAGGATCTTAACAGGCACATTTATTTTCTATATTTGCAGATGGTAGGGGCTAGGACTTCAAATACCTCCTCCCATCTCAGCTCTGAGACTAAAAGCTTTATGGAGGCTAAAAGCAAGCAAAGATTCCTTTTCTAATATTCCTCTTAACCTGCTAATATTCCTCTCATTTTAACAGAAATGAGAATGGAGTGTTGCAGATCTAGATGAACTTCTGCTGAATTTTCTGCTTAAGTAAGACTGTGGTTTGTTTAAAAGCTGAGTTCTTTTTTGCTAGTTTTATTTTTTTTCCCTGTTGCTTAAGCAAGAACCCATTGTTTGATGTCTACCACAATTAAATGTTTATTATTTTTACTGGACCCTCTTGTCTGACGTTAAGTGGGATGTGAGATCAATAGTTGCTCTGCAGTTATTTATCCATTGATAAAGCCCTCATTTCTCAAATGAAGTACATTTGTCTGCATCCTGACAGTGATAAGGGAGCAGTACCAGTCAGCTGCTCCCTAGTCCAGCATTTAGCTCTGCAGCCAACAAGTGCCTGGACATGGGTCAAACCATGTCTAACTTTTTATTGCTGTCATTTCACTTTACAAAGTGCTCTGATGGGAGTTTGAAAAATCATCCTTGCTGAGTTCACATAATAAAAACTAGCAGCACAAATGGGAAGTTTTTGTAAAGAGAAAACAATGACTGATTTCAGGTTAAATGATCAGCCCGTAAAGCTACTGGATGGTAAAATGAAGATGACAGAAAAGATCCCATTTAAGGCACTCACTTGGTTCTTTAAGCATCATTTAAATTTAGTCATTTGTCAAATTTAATTGATGAAAATTTCTTTTGAATTTTGTTTTGTGATAGGGAAACAAATTTTGACTCCAATAAAAAAAGAGTAAAGTTCTCTTGGCTTTAGCGAGGTCAAAATTGCATCTCCCAGTGGAGCATATAAATCTATTTCAGCCCCAGAATTAGACAATTCAACAGCACATGTGGGGCAATTTGTTGGTTTTGTTTATTTGTTTTATTTCTAATTCTGATTTATGACAAGGAAAGAGTTTCCCAGCTAATGTCAAATTGGTAATGAAAATTCAAAGAGCTTTATAAACTGACACATTTGCTTTTTCTATCCGTAATGTTTCTTGATTCAAGCCAGCAGTTATTAAAGACAAATAATTTGTATTTAGTTTCTGGTCTTCTTTTTGATAATGAGTACAGTGGGCTGTATTGGTTATAGGCTATAGAAAAATCCGGTGTATTTTTACTCTGGGATTAGGGCAAAGAATTCATATTATCCTCAATTTAGCCAACTTTGAGAAAGCTAGAAATGTTTATTGTATTTAGGGGTGAATCTGATAAACAGTTGCAGAACTGTGTGATCATCATCTTTCTCAGATGTTCACATTCCATGTGTTGGACATGAGCTCATCAAATACTATTTAAAGTAGGTTTAACACTCAAGTTGGTCAAAGATTGCTTTATTTTTTCCTATTTTTGCCTGGCCACTAACTTCCCATCAATGGTGTGACTACAGTTGCTGCATTATCATATCCATGTTGGTTCTTCTTCATTGGAGGAAACCTGTCAAATGCAACTAAGAAGTTGAGCTTTGTTTTGTTTGTTTGTTTTTTAATCCACCTATCTTTAGATTGCAAAAAAAATTGGCTGACATACCTGAATTAAATTGTGGTTTGACATATTGATTACTTCACTCTCTAAGGTGGAATTAAGGGGAGAAAATCTCCATATGTGAAATCAAAAAAATGATGCCCCAGAAAACAGACTTTCTTTGGGCTTTGCAAATATAATTTAAAAATCAGTCAAAGAAGGGTTGGCAAGGGGAACTGCAATGAAAAAATTTTATGTACAGAGAGGTAAGAACTAGCTACCTGTAAAGATACTTGCTTTTTACAACTGAGAGACGGAATTAAAAAATTATGTCGTTCTACATATTTAACTTTTCTATAGCACTGAACTAAAGAGCTATCACAGCTAAGAGACTATTTACCAAACTATTCTGGCTTATTGAACAATTGCTGAATCAACAGTACTATTATGTGGTTGGCAGTATTGGTCAGAGGGTCCCAGCCAGAGCAGGTGGCCCTGGAGGAAGGACTGGAGCTCCTGTGCCTGGGGTCCCGCTCAGCAGGATGGGGCTGTGCAGTGTGGCTGCAGGAGGAGTTGTGCACTGTCAGCCACAACAGCCCCACTTAATATGCATCTTGCTAAGACTCAGCAGCATCTTCTTTGATGCTGCCAAAAATCAAAAAGATTTTACTGTATAAACCCTTTAGAACTCCTTGCGAGTAGATAATGAACAATTACCTCTTTAATTTAAAATCTTGCAAGCAAAACTGATATAGTTCTATTTTGAAAAATTACTTTGGGTTTTGAACGTGGCTTTACTGTTAGTTTACTAAGATAATCACTTCTGAAATGTTAAGAAAAAAGGCAGAGACCAGATTCTTTGCCCTAAAGGAGATAGCTGTCTTTTAGAGAAACAGACAGGATGATACAGCCATGAATAACAAACAGCTTTACAAGGCAGTCTCATATCTATACAGTTATAAAAAAGCAAACACCTTCTTCTCAATAAATTAATTATGTGGATTAATGACTTCATATTGCCTTTGAGAGGCTTTATGGTAAACATTTATTTTTCAATCAAGTACTGGACTAAAGAACAAAAGTAAAAGGTTCCAATGGCTTGGTTAACACTCATATGAACAGCCTCAGGAACGTAAAAAGGCTATGTTATGAAGCACTTTTTATTCCATTAAACATTACAGGGCCAGATTGTCAACAGCTGAGGTTTTTGAAAAATATTTTTTATTAAGTGATACATTATTGGCATTAAGACCAGTTTTCTGTAGAGATGCCTAGGAGATGTAGGTATGTGCTAAATGAACCTAGATACTTAGGTAGAATAATTGCTCCTAGTTATTTATGTAGAATTTGATGCTTAGCTACTTCTGACAGCCCTGTTGAATGCCTACCAGCATTGTTAGACACTTCAATGTCTTCTAAATCTGACTTGCTCTTAGGCTGTGAGGTGTCTTATTAATTTCAGCTACATGATTCATTTGTTCTTTTGGGCAGAAACTTAAGTACTAAGCTGGAAAGGGTATCTGTGTTTTTCATTTCAATCTTGTAATTTCAATCATTTTAATTAAGTATTTGCCTCTCTCCTGTGGGTCAAGTGTAACGTCTTTACATTTTACTCTTTGCAGAGTAACATCTAGCTCTGACTACTAGTAAATGGAATTCTGCAGTATGCTAAATAATGAACGAATAGATTTCAAAGGTGTTGGACGGGTCTTAGCTACATCACTTTTACATGCAAGTGATGTGAATACAAGATTCCTATTAGCAGCAAAATTAGCTTGTTTTATAGTAGCATAAATGAGAGAAAAACTGGCTAACTTGGCTTGGTACAAGTTTGCAGGCTATTCCTACCCAAGTGCTTCAGAAGTTGAGCATAGTACCTGGCACAAATAGAAGAGCTAGAGGTGTGAGAATGATTCCTAAATCAGTGAAAAGTACCAGAACAGCTGATGAAAATCATTAAATAAAAACCCTCCTAAATGTGAGAATTTTCCAAATGCATTTCATTTATTCAGCTAATTTAAAATGTTTCTGAACTGACATGAATTTGCTAAATATTTTATAAGAAGAAAGCTACAGGCTTTATTTGTGCCACTGTATAATGACTGAAAAATCTACTTATGAGGAATTAGGAGATATAAATTCTTGTTATCCATCAGATTAATTAATAAAACATAATTTCTGCAACAGATGGTTTGCTTTCACTTCTCTGAATTTAAGATATTCAAGCAATGAAGCCCTGAATACAAAATGTTAATAGTTACCAAGGAAATCCATCATCTCTTTCTAGGATTCAAAATGGACATACCTCAGAATGATCTATTCCATTAGCATCATTCTAATTTCATTATAATTTGTAAAATCTTTTCTACATTCTTCGTGTTCTGTCCCCTATACCTCTGAAGTATTGGTCTTTTATCTTCCCTACATTTAAAGGGAGCTTTATCTAAAATTTTCTCAAGCAGGTTCAAATTCTGTAACACCTAGGAGGGATATATTTAAGACTGTAATTAAGACCTACAGTGTGAACAAAGTGTCTCTTTTAGTCTACTTGCAATTGTATCACAATAATTTATTTTTAGAACTTAATTTACAGAATTTTTTAAAAACTGAAAATGAAAGGAAAGCATTACTAAATGTCATCACTGCTGGTATCTTTCATTGTGTCCTTGGCTCACCTGATGTCTTTGTAGACAAAAACACCTTTTCAGTAAAACAGGAGGTTTTGCTATGGAGGCATGGCTGGGTCTGCCCTTATTTATAAGTTTCTCCTTTCAGCGGTCTGCCAGAAAAAAGCCACTCACTTGGGCAAAGTTCATTTAGACCAACTTTACAACAAAGTGCAAACCTGAGACAGAGGACAGGTAGAAAAATCTCTTCCCATGAAGTCAATAGGAATCCATCTCCCTAAGATCTTTTTTATTCTTGGCACCAGTGATTTTTCTCAACTGATTTATTGGAGGGCACTGGTTTAACTAATTTGTCTTGCATAGGTATCTTTCCCATTCTGTCCTCTCCACTAGTACAAAACAATCTTCCCTTTAAAGGTTATTTCCTAGCCAGATCTGTCCTAAAGCTATTATCATTAATTTGCACTTCAGGAGTTCCTTTCACTTTTAAAAAACTATGAGATACATTCCTGATTTATGGGTTACAGTGTGACAGCCATCATATGCAAAGAAGATTGTTTATACTTACCACAGATGCCCTTGAATAAGAGGAAAATTTCAACCATATCCCCACTCCATGTGCTTTACATAACTGTATTTGATATCCCAGAAGAACATGGCAATCTCTATTTTCCACTGTTCTCTAGGATGTCTAGTAGAATTTTATCCTTGTTCTGGAAAATTCAGTATTAACATACCAAAATACAGAAGGTTTATAATACTCCATAAAATTTTGTGGGTTTTAGGAGTAATTTCCATGGAATCACACTTTTAATCCTTATACAAAATTTTCCTGCAGCTGATAATTAAAACATTATTCTCAGATTACTGCGAACGTCATTAAACATATTTCAAAATCATGTGTTTCACAAAAAATTGAAGAAAAGCAAAATATTTTCAATGCTTTTTAGAAAAAACAATCAGTATGAAGATTAATGAGAGTGTACCTACCTAAACTAAACAGCACCAGGAATTTGAGACAGACAAATTCTCGTAGGTCAAACTGCAGCGAACGAAGCTTTGCTACCAGTTCTTGTGCATGGCTCATAAGATTGTTGAGGGTGGCTCCAGCTTGAGATGCTATTACAGAATAATCCACCTGTAAAAGAGAATTGTATTCCTATCTGGTTGTCATGCCCACACTTTGGGATGTTTCAAGCAATAACATACAACCAGGATACTCCTGAATATAGAAATCACTCTTAATTTAATTATGTTACCAAGTCTAGATGATTTTATATATAAACCAATTTTAACACAATGGTATATATTGAAAATAACATTAAGCCATCTATCTTAATGGTATATGACATCACAGTGCTGGTTTGTCTGTATTAGCTTTTTTTTAGAAGCTTTAAATAGCTATATATGACACTGGTAGCTGTCCACATCTAAGTTTTATTCACTTGGTGTCCCCTATTCTCATTGTAATAGTATGATCCTGCAGAGAACGACTGATGGAGTGAGCTTTGTGCCTACCCTGGCTGTACTGCTGCAGAGGGGCACGATGATATTCATGGGAAACAGTCCGTGTCCAGAACTTGGCCAGAAACATCTATTCAGGCCCTGAAATGTCGGTGTATTCCTACAGGAAACAGGTATTGTGTGGGTGGTTGCTGTTCTCAGCTACACAAAATCACTTGTTCAGGCAAGTGCTGCCCTGCAGGGAAGGAGGGGTGGCAGGTGTGTGACAGCCCAGCTGCCCTTGCACTGTCCCCAGCAGTGACCACAGTGCACAGAGCTCCTTCCCCTGGGCTAGGGACACTGGTGGTGCTGCTCTGGGCTCTGCTGCCTGTCGTGCTGCCCAATGTTCTCGGGGCAGGCTGACCTGCCTGGGAGCTTTCCTTGTATGCAGAGATCCAATGGAAAGCTGGAGTTAATAACACTTAATCAAACAGGGAAAATTCACAAGCACCGGAGACTTAAGGCCTGCCGTTGCTGACTCATCCTGGGGTGATCCTTGAACCTTGGGCAACCTCCCCAAGCCCAGCATGCTGAAACTGTTCTGGCTAATGCCAGCCCATTGCAGGGATGCTTCCATGCAGGAGACTGCCCCAGCCCTTGCCACTCTGAAGGTGTGCCTGCTTTGTCATGGGATGGTGACCAGTGGGGAAGGGCACAGCCTGTGGGAACGCTGTGATGGGAAGGTGAAAGGAGGTCTGGGGTGGGCTGGCTCCAGGACAGGGCAATGGCTTGGTGTGGAGCAGGGTGTAACTGCTGTATCAGAACTGAAGTGACCTGAACAGCAGCTTCAGCTTCAGTGCTCAGCCCACTTTTCATCAGAGTGCTCCACATCCCCTGCAAGTGCCACTGTGCCATGGACATGGCCTGCTGTGCTGCTTGCTGCCCACAGAACCACTCCTGGACAACTGGCTGAAACCTCAATGGGTCAGTGGCACATTTTCAAAATTACCATCACCTTTCTTTTGTAGGAGCCTCCAGAACAACAGGGAAATTGCTAATCATACTTCATCTAAGTGAAGTCTAGCTGTAAATTACGACTAACCAACACGGTAAGTACTTGCTTTGGATTAGTAATTTGTTTAATGGAATCAATGCTCTCAGCCTATCTCTAAGGTTTCCCATAATAAAGTATTTAATAAAGGAGATGTATCACGACAAGAAACAAGCCAATACTGCAAAATTTTGTTTTTCCAGGTTCTGATGCCTTAAAATCCTGTTTTAAAAAAAACTGTATTAAGTAACATGTATTTAGATTTTTAATTTTTTAAAAATTACTTTACTTTAAAACTACTGAATTGATTTCACTCAAGTATAAACAGCAATAAAACAAGAAAAAACCCCATACTTTTAACCTGACAAAATTTCAGCAAGGAAAGATAGAAAGATGATAAAATAAATGAAAATTAACTTTTCGTGGTAATGACCTTAATATAATTAATTAGTTACAGACTTTTAATAAGAGATTGTGTTTATACTACTCTTATTGCTCCCTATAAACTGGAGGTAACTGCACAAGAAAAATGAGGTTACACTTTTTGAATGGAGGTTAAGAATAACAACACTTTGCAGTGTTGGAGCAGTTAGAGTTGAGTTGATGCTTCAATTAAATCAGTGGATTATGCTGAAGAATCCTGTGAGGTAGATTATTGCTGTCTTTTACACCTGGGGAAACTTGAAGAAGTGAAGTTAAATTGCTTACTCAGGGCCAAAGAAATCTGTGGCAAAACTATGATCTGATCTTTAGAAACCCCAGTTTATCCATCTTTCAAAAAGTACTTGCTAGTTCATCTCTTATTTATCACTCTTTCTATAGATGCATTTAGGCATATTTCTTTATGTATATATATCTATATAATATGATATATATATATATATATATATATATATATATGAGATATATATATATATCTATATAATACCTCAAATATATTTTACTCAAAGATCAGTTTAATGTATTGCTATGGTTCAACTACTTTGTATTGAGAAACTGGTCACATATAAATATGAAATTTCATAACTTAATATCTCTTTTGTAATTGTTAAGAGGGAGGCAAAAAGCTCCAAATCCCTTACTGAGCTTCCAATTTGTGGGGAAAATATGCTACTCACTTCATAAGAAGAAGTTAAGATGTCTGAATGTCAAGAATATCAGTGGCCTTAGTGCATATGCCGATTATGCCATAATGGAAAAACCCAGTAGATGCCTGGATCTCCCAGCATCCCTCTACTGGAGAGCTCTCAGGCAACCTGCTCCTCTTTCAGGTGCATTTAATATTTGCAGCACCAGCAAATTTGTCTGGGAGGCAAGTCCTCATCTGCCACTCACCAGGAACAGGCTGTATTAAATTTTTATATTTATTGACATTTCATTACCATAATTGACTGCAGTTGGTTCTCTAGTAGAAGGCACAGGGCTGCCTCCTAAGCAGGAGAATTGGTCCCTTGAGTAGGATTTGCAATTAAAAACAACGCAGAATGGATTTTTTTTTTAATTGTGTAAATATGATGAGTTGAATTTTCAGCTTTAACTAGAGAATAGTAGGTGTGCAGAAGGCTTTTTTCAAGAGTGAGCAAAATTATGAGTCAGTGGAAAGACGACCCCCAAAGGTGTCAATCAGTTTATACAAAAGCAACTGTGCATGAAAAAGCCTCAGTTAATGTCTATTCTGAAAAAGTGGTCACATTAAAGACTACACTGTTCTGCTTGCTTGGTCCTTTATACAGAAATTGATACTAAAATGTGTATTAATTCTTTTACCTTCTGACATGATTAAAAGCAATTTTAAAATACAAAGATTAAACCAGCTCGGATTTTGTGCAAAATGCTTAATTGCATAATGAAGTCTTAGCATTTACTTTATATTGTACATTTTACTTCATATTGTATATTGATTTCATTTAATAAAATCAAATCCATTACTAAAATAGTCTTGCATCCCAATTAATACTACTACATTTCACATTGATTTTGATGTTGAGGTTGTTATTTGGCTTTTTTGAAAACGGCAGCTTTGTCAGAGCTTCCACATAACCTAATTTGGAAGTACAACAATGGGCTGAAGTTATGGCTGAACAAACAGAAGTGGGAATTCCTCCTGTACCCTGGGCTAAATAAATGCTGTGGCTGAAGGCCAAAAATAAAGGGAGCACCTGTGGTTTTTTGTTTTGCAAATGATGTTTCATGGTAATTAAAGAAGTTTGAAGACAAATTACTGGGCTCAGTAATTTTTCTGGTGGAATCAGGTGGTGGCTTCAGGTATCACCTCTGTGCTTGTAAAACAGTCGAAAGTTAATGGTGGAATAAAGTTCCCTTTTTCTTCTAAAATTAAGGAGTGTTTGATTTCTAGAATATGACTGTGGTATCATGGGGAAATATTGTGTGGAACTGCACCATCCCTTTCAATGCTTCAACAAGCTTGAAATTATATCCAGAATATGATTAGAGTGATTTTACTTTTTCATGGTGGTGCCAGGTGCTAAGTACCCCTGAATGCCATTCCTTTCAGCCAGATAGGAATTGCACAAGTAAAGAATAAAGCCCCTGCTGTAGCTCTATTCAGTATAACCTAGCAGACTAAGGCAGTCCAAGTTAATAAAAGATTGATTTCATATTGGATTTAGTAAATTAGACTACTGTGAGCTTGGGGTCCGAAGGCAGAGGCAGTGGGTGCCCAGGGGCAGCAAAGGGAGCGTCCTGCTCCTCCTGGTCTACAGGGTGCAACCCTGGCCAGCACCTCTGGCTGCTGGGAGCTGCTCCCCCAGTGCCCCCGCCTTGGCTGGCCCACACTGACCTGCCCTGGGTCCCTGAGCCCTGACCCTGCTCCAGTGGATGCTCAGTGGGTGGATGAGTCTCTTCTCAGAAGCATACAAGCAAACATACAGCAAACAAGCTCATTTGCTATTGCAACCGTTCCATTGTTTCCTGAGAGACAGGTTTCACTGGAAACTGCTGTGGTTATTAAACTCATTTTTAACATTTCAAATAATTCTTCCATTAAAAACAACATTTCTGTTACATTTCTAAGCAAATAAGCATGGAAAACACTTTGAAGAGGTGCCTACATACAAAAATTGAGAAGGTTTCAGAATGGACAAAACCCACAGATATGTGTGTATCTGCTGGTTATCAGGTTTGGATATATTAATTAAAATTTTGTTGACTTATGCAGCATAAGATGCTTGTCATTTTAATGTGAGACACAATAATAGAAGATAATGAATTAAGTTGCCAGTGGCTCTTTCCCCTAGGATGATATGGTGCTTGATAATTAACTATAATATGCAAATAGTAACACTCCAAAGTACTGCAGAGTAAAGTAGAATCCATTTCTTAACCAAAGTGTTATAATATACTTTTATGGTTTTTTTTTAAATATTGAGATGACAGAAAAATCACTGCTGTGTTTGATATTCTGTAAAGTTTATCAGAAGACAGAGAACCACTGGAAAAATTTTTGTGAATGTCTGGGTAACATCTCACAAGGCTGTGTTAACTCAAACTGCTTCTTCAGGATCTTTGAAACATGTAAATCAATTCTCCCTTCAAGACCCTCTTATTTTACCCAAATTTCTGCTCTATTGTTTTAAATCCTTTCCCACCTATGTGTAGTCAAGGCTGGATATGCTCACCTTGGATCCCATCACTATCACTACTCCAGTAGGCAGTTGGGACAGACTCATGTGCTGCTTTCTTCAAATAGATTTTCTGAACAACTTTGTCTTTCATGCTGGGCAAGCTTAAAATCAGCTATGGGATTTTACATGAGTTTGTTTTGACAGATTAGTTCACTAGCATGGGACTGGTTTGAAGAACTAACAGGCTTGAAGAAATGCTGCCAGATTCCAGGCAAATAACTTTAGTTTTCTTTCCTGCAGATGGGACCCATGTGTATGAAATACAAAAGAAATGTGTTTCCCATGAAGACAACAGAGTTAGCGTGTGGAAAATGGAAGAGTTCTGGTGTTCAAGGATTTGTGTCAGGTGCTCTCTCCATGAACTTTTACTGGAACAGGGATTTTAGATTAAAGATGTAGTGCTATGATGGTTTCATGGAAACACAGCAAAGTACATGTGAATTAGGATCAGGTTGTTCATAGGTATGTTCACAGCTACATGAAAGGCTCAAAATATGTAACAAATATTCGGAAAAACATGAATTCAGGGCCTTTCATGGTTATAAATGAATTTTGATGTGTTTTACCCAGTTTAACTGAGCACATCTAGTTCATCCCTAAGGAGCAGCCAGCATAATATCTTCATATCTTCATAAGGCCATTTTAGCAACTACCACAACCTTACTTTCCTTTAGGCAGAAACCACTAGAATAAGGAACTGTGAAAAAAAGCTAATACTATACTGAATAGTGAAATAATGATTGTTTGACCTCATTTGTATCCTCCTTGAATCAAATCCTGTGTTTATTTACTGATGTAAGTACTTCTAGATTTGGCCCTCAAATGCCAATACCTCTTTTGTGCTCGCCACAACTATGAAGCCTCACTGACCACAACACAAATTGAATGGGAAAAAGATACTAATTTCCAAAAATATAAGAAGTAATAGGTTTCCACTAGGTATCCATGAGCTTTCTATACCTATGACTTGTGGATGTCCTTTGCAGCCACTCCTCTAACACTCTTGTGCTTTTGTACTTCAGTGATACTTCTGCAAGGGTGATCTTTCTTGACAACACCAGCAAGATCTCATGCTCTTTCTCTGATGCTATGCTTTAGAATAGAAATCCAGATGTAAAGATGCGTTTGTGTGATGACTTCAACTAAATCAATAGTTTCAACAATCTCAAAAATGTCTGAGATTTAGACACATGATTGGATGGCCTTTTTAATTGGAAAGGCTTTGGCCAAGCTCAGCAGAGAGAATATTTGGCAACCGTGAGCAGAGTTTAGGTATGAACAAAGGGAGCAGATGAGGCTACAATTCATGTGTTGTGCATTGACTGTTGCAGGAAGGTGCACAAGCAACAATATTCTGTGCAGAGCTTTAGCTTATGTGTGCTGGGTCTTGGAAGCTGGCAGTGTATTGCACATGTAGAAGACACAAGGAGAAAGTGCTCAAGTTGGAGGAATTAGAATTCTATAATTAGAAATGGTCTGTTAAAATTACATGCTACATGGCAAGCCTACAAAACTCAGCATGTGGAGAGCATATTGGCAATGATTTACAATTAACCACCACATTGCAAATCACTCCTTAGCTGTTTTCTATTATGAAATTTTGAGAGTTGTAAAATGCATTTGTGCTACTTTATTTCCTTTTGAAATGGTAATTGCTACTGCTGAGGGGCAGTACTTAGTGCAGAAAATGAAGTGTGCAGCACAGGGAGGAACTTGTTTCTGACGAACTGCTGAGGAATTGTAATGATCTGAAAAAAGTGCTTTCTTGAAACACATACAGACAAAAGAGCTTCATTTATGAAACCCCAAATAAATAACAAAATACAATAAAAAAACCCACAGTCTCTTTTTATGCAAGGGCCAGAGCTTACTAGTTTGTTGCTGACTGCACCTTTTCCCCATCAAAGTGGGAACAGTGGATTGACACTGAGTAAAACCCATAAGTCAGTGGCTTGAAGGAAATGCAGATATATGGAAATGTGATAGGAGTGCCCTAAAGTAATGGGTTTTGAGCCAGTGTGTTTGAAAATTATCAAGTGTTCTTCTAACTACTAGCCCCTTTTAGATACCTAGTACAGCACTGACAGTGGTACCACCCTGGGGACCTGGATAAAGTTTGGCTTTTGTGTCTGAGGAACAGAGGCTGTGCAGTCTATAAGTGGAGAGAGCAGGTATATTCTAATTAAGTGATGGCAAGTTCCCCCTTTACAGCTTCCACCTTGATGGTGATTTGTAAAGAGGACAGTGTTTATGAGTAGCTTTTATGGTGGGATATATTAAAGAAAGCAAGGAGTGAGGCTTCTCAGGTCTTAAATTTGCTAACTTGTGTCAATAATCTTGATCTCTCAGGTAATAAAGTTGGCAATCTAGCTCAGGTCCTCAGTTTAAAGTTATTATCTTTGAAAGCCAGGTGATTGACTGTAATTTTGCTCATAGTGCTTTGCTGGTAGCAGAAATAAAAACATCTACAGCACTTTTCATCAGAAGTGTCAGAGTGCTTTCCACACCTTAATCAACTAATTTTTATGAAATGGTGGCATGATTTTTCCCTGTCTCTTCTGTGGGAACTGAAAGGATCAGGACAGTAATCAGAAAGTATGCAGGAATGGTGCACTAGCAAAGACTCATAATGCCCAGGTCTGGAAGGGTGGCTTCCCAGAATTATTTTACAGTTGTTACAGAGTATACAGACACAGTTGTAATTGTCCTTTCATAAATACATTTGAACAGATGTTGTGTCTAAGAGTGCAACAGTCTGAGTCAATGCTTCCAAGATGGACCACCTTGATAGTTAGGAAAAGAGACAGTTGTGTTGGATCAACTTGTCTTAAAAAGTAACTCACTACTGAACAGGGATGTGCAAAAGCAGAGCACAGCAGCTGAAGCTGAAGGAATGGCTCAGGATGGGTGATGTAGAAGTACCGTCCATGTCTACTGCCACGGAGTGATAATGTTAAAAAGGGGTTAAAGCTGTAGTTGAAGCTTGCAAGGAATGTTAAATTGCTATTCTGGGATAAACCAGGAAAATGTGGTACTGCAGCTGCATTCAGATGGTGGTTTTGTGGCAGCAAGCACAGACCAGGCTGAGGTTCTCAGTGCCCCCTTTACCTCAGTCTGTCCTAACAAGATCTCCTGGGATCTGCATTGCATCAGGGCTCAAGGAAGAGGAGAGTTATAAGCACTGGGTGTAAGTTGGGAAAAAAAAAAAAACCAACAAAAAAACCAAAAACTTCATAGGAGAACTAAGGAAAAAGGAAAAACTTTCTCCCCATGGAGATTGTCAGGCAGTGGTACTGGCTGCACACAAAATTTTCACAAAATTTTGCAGTTTCCATTCTTGGATGTTTTCAAAGCCCAACTGGGCAAAACCCTGAGAAACCTGGTTTGAGTAGGGGTTTGGACTGGGGACTCCTTAAAATTCCTTCCAGTCTGGATTATCCTATGATTTTAAGATTTGTAGCTTTGGCAATTCTAGATATTTTAAAACTTCTGGTTAGCTCACCCAGCCTTGTCCATAAAAGAGTTTCTTCAAGGAATGATTTTTACCCATGAAAATAATTTGAAAAGATGCTGGTTTGAAGTAAGTGCTTTTGATGCAGAAATTGCCTACAAGTCATGTAGTGGCACAACACTGGCACTGCTGCAGCACCTCGATTGCCAGCAGCCTTTGTGTGAAGCACATGCCATGCACAGCCCAGCAGGGCAGGTGCTGCTCCTGGAAACAATCTGCCTTTGCACCGAGGATCCACTGCAGCCAGAGCTGAGTGACACTGGGACAGAACAGGGGCATTACAGGGAGATTTCAGAAACAGCGGCCAGACTCTGTAATTCAGGTCTAGTGTCTCCCTGTTTCTCAAAGAGAATCTGTGATACATCCATGGCAGTATGTTCTGCAGCTGTTAGGAGTTGTGAAATGGGAAAAAGGACTGACTGTAGAGTTCTTGTTGCTGTTGTAATCATACTACTCCTGCTCTTAGCCTAAGTGCAAAGAGGAAAGTAAAGAGGGTGTTAGGAGACTCTGGGGGTGCTTGCACCAACTTCAAAAGGACAAATTTTGACATAGGAAAGGGAAGCTGGATTCAAAGAAGGATGTATTAAGACTAGTTTACAAAAATGGGAAAAATTAATGCAGTCATTCCAATATAGGCAGGTTTTAACCTAGTTGGAGACTGCCTGGAAATGCACAGCTTCCCAGTTCAGCTGCTGATTTGCAAGCAGTACATTTAATAAGCATCCTGCTACCTGTTGTCCAACAGTGAAGAAACATTCTGCTTTGCCTTGAGATCATGTGCAGCTGGGGTTTTTATTTTCAAGAAAAGATAAAAGTGGCTAATGAGGTAAAAATTACTACTGTGGGAAAATGGGGACAATGGCTGGAATTTAAGGGTAGTTAGATACCTCTAATGATTTCAGTGGGACTTAGGCACTCAGTACCTTTAAAACAGTGCTAATCACATAACAAAGGAGACACTAATTTAGCAGTTCTCTCAGGAACAGAAACCTGTCAATGTACTTATAGCTTTATAAACAAGCAACCTATGTGGTAAATGAAATAATTTCCAGTAAAATTGTCTGTCTTGCAAAGCATGAATTGGAAAGGGAATCAGTCATCATCTCAATTGCACTAATAGAAATCAAGAGTAATGCAACTAAACTAACTTTTGCTGATGCTGATATTTGAGATAGGTTAGTGTCTTTCCATGAAATGCAGGAGTCAGTTCTATAGACAGAATTTGAGTTTTCCCAATTCCTTTCTTTAACAAGTGAGTAATTTCTCCCTTCTACTGTAGACTTCTTAATCACAAATGCAAACAGGAGAATCAGAATCCTTCTGATTCTTACAAGTATTTCTTCTTAGTGTTGAGAAATAGCTGTAGCTTTAAAATTGTAGCTAAAGCTGTAAGCAGATTCCACAACATGCAGACACAAATGGTGTAGCATAGGAAAAGAAGCTCTTTCCCATGTGTGTATAAATTGAGGCAGTTAAGTTTGCAGCTACTTAAATACCAAAGAGACATAATTTGTTTTCACTTCAAGACAGAAACATAATGTACAGGCACACTTTGATTTTCTTTGATACTCTCTCTTATTTTTTCTTTGTGTTAAAAGCAGAATAACAATCTGAGGAATAAGGTTCTTGTTTTACTGTTAAGATTGTTGTGCTTTGGAAAGCATAGTGGAGACAAAACTTTCTATTTCTTTTGTATTTTCTCACAATTTCCCTAATATTTACTACATTATAGCTCTTGCAT